TGGACAGACAGGAAGGAGACAATATGGGGTAAGCTCTTGGATAGGAAGGAGTCAGTATGGGGTAAACTCTTGGACAGGACAGGAAGGAGGCAATATATGGGTAAACACTCGGACAGGAAGCAAACAATATGGGGTAAACTCTTTGACAGGAAGGAGATAATATGATGTAAGCCCTTGGACAGAAAGGAGACCATATGGGGTAAGCGCTTTGACCGGCAGGAGACAGTATGGAGTAAGCACATGGACGGGAAACAAGATCCTTTACATTTGTGTCCTTAGATTATCATGAAAATTATGACTTTGTTGCATCACACGTGCATTATATGCACCAACAGTATCATACACAGCTGACGTTGTTAGTGGTATAACACAGTCCAAGAACTGGAGGACCGAGAGTGACCAACCCGCAAGATGCACATTAATTCTCCATCTGTGCAATGTGATTCCACAGTAACATCATCAGCATCAACAGCGTTTTGTCACCACAACAGCAGAAACACAGTGATGAGACGGCTACATGCTGTCGGCATCCAGGCCTATCTACCATTTGGGAGGCTGGCATTTACCCGTCAACATTGACTGAATCGTCCACAACAGGCAAGGAATGCAACGTCGCAGTTGGGTAGCATATGTGTGATGTTTACATAATGTTATAAGTCACAGTTAAAGCACTTTTCAAATATTTACGCTCTTATTTGTTTGTTTTGGTTTAGTTTTGTTTGTTTGTTTGTGGGTTTGATCCCAAAGCACCAGGCGTGTACTTTCTTGTCTACGTCAGTTTATATTTTGTTGTATAATATCCTAGTTGGTGTAAAGATGAAACAGACCGTCAACTCAAAAGAAATGTCCTTCAAAAGTTGGTACTTGACATACATGTGTGATATCCAATCTGTTGTTTCAACAAAACACAAGAAAACCAAGAACTAAATAGATGTACCTTAACAAACAATGCCTGGACCCATGTAGTAAACATGGCCGAGATGACATCGACCCATGTAGTAAACATGGCCGAGATGGCATCAACCCATGTAGTAAACATGGCCGAGATGGCATCAAGCCATGTAGTAAACATGGCCGAGATGATCATAAACATGGCATGGCATCAACACATGTAAACATGGCCGAGATGGCATCAACATGTAGTAAACATGGCCGAGATGGCATCAACCCATGTAGTAAACATGGCCGAGATGGCATCAACCCATGTAGTAAACATGGCCGAGATGGCATCAACCCATGTAGTAAACATGGCCGAGATGGCATCAAGCCATGTAGTAAACATGGCCGAGATGGCATCAACCCATGTAGTAAACATGGCCGAGATGGCATCAACCCATGTAGTAAACATGGCCGAGATGGCATCAACCCATGTAGTAAACATGGCCGAGATGGTCGAGATGGCATCAACCCATGTAGTAAACATGGCCGAGATGGCATCAACCCATGTAGTAAACATGGCCGAGATGACATCAACCCATGTAGTAAACATGGCCGAGATGGCATCAACCCATGTAGTAAACATGGCCGAGATGGCATCAAGCCATGTAGTAAACATGGCCGAGATGGCATCAACCCATGTAGTAAACATGGCCGAGATGGCATCAAGCCATGTAGTAAACATGGCCGAGATGGCATCAACCCATGTAGTAAACATGGCCGATGGCATGCATTGTAGTATCAATAGCCAACCCATGTAGTAAACATGGCCGAGATGGCATCAACCCATGTAGTAAACATGGGCGATGGCATCAACCCATGTAGTAAACATGGCCGAGATGGCATCAACCCATGTAGTAAAATGGCATGGCATCAACCCATGTAGTAAACATGGCCGAGATGGCATCAACCCATGTAGTAAACATGGCCGAGATGGCATCAACCCATGTAGTAAACATGGCCGAGATGGCATCAACCCATGTAGTAAACATGGCCGAGATGGCATCAACCCATGTAGTAAACATGGCCGAGATGGCATCATATGGTACTTTCTCCGTACTATATGGTCAAGTCGGAAAGACATGAGAAGGAGTGTCCGTCATGAGGAACACGTGTTATAAACAGCACCAGTAACAAGGCAACCTTTGTGACGAAACTGCTTTCTGATCTGACACTGTTTACATTCCTAGCGCGTTTATATATCGTGGCGATCGTTGTTCTGCTCTTACAAGAAACTATAAATGGCTCGGAATGAGATTATAACGTGCATGCATGTGTCTCCTATTTTCTATGTTTGATTCAGCTTGTAGCTGCACGTGGTCTGAGTACTGCACGCGATTTGCGAGGACCTGGTTCTTCTAATGTCACGTGACACTGTGCCATGAAGCGCTTTCACTCAGCCTCACCCAGTGTTCTGGAACTTCGGAGTATATGACCTTGTGACCTCGGAACTATTTTAAATAAATACATACACTGTGCATATGTTCATGCAAATATAATTTGTTTAAGAACAAAGACGGTCACTCCTGCCTCCATGGTCTGAGGCCCTTCCGTTCTGACATGGCTGATCTCTGGTTCGTTCTGACATGGCTGATCTCTGGTCCGTTCTGACATGGCTGATCTCTGGTCCGTTCTGACATGGCTGATCTCTGGTTCGTTCTGACATGGCTGATCTCTGGTCCGTCCTGTTATGGCTGATTTCTGGTCCGTTCTGACATGGCTAATCCCTGCTTCGTTCTGACATGGCTGATCTCTGGTTCGTGCTGTTATGGCTGATTTCTGGTCCGTTCTGACATGGCTAATCCCTGCTTCGTTCTGACATGGCTGATCTCTGGCTGATCTCTGGTCCGTTCTGACATGGCTGATCTCTAGTTCGTTCTGACATGACTGATCTCTGTTCGTTCTGACACATGGCTAATCCCTGGCTGATCTCTGATCTCTGGTCCGTTCTGACATGGCTGATCTCTGGTCCGTTCTGCCATGGCTGATCCCTGGTTCTTCATATGATGGTTGATCTCTTGTTTATCTCTGTATATCTGCACCTATTTCTGTCTTTAACCAAAGTGATAGATGGCTACTGCTGGTTTCAAAAATGATTCCATACTGCGTAAATGCAACACAACGGTGATCGCCGTTAAAATATTTAAGTGATTGTTTCTTGTCTACAGAAACCAAACATACCACGGCAGCCAACAGTCGACCAGTGAAATGATCCACGACACCGGAATACGAGACTACGCAGTCCACAAGTCACAAAATCTGTCAAATACAATACAGAAGTTCGTGGCCAATAAAGAATAACCTTTCCCTACCCTTTGTCCATCTGGATTCATAGACGTTAGGGGCGGTGGGGTAGCCTAGTGGTTAAAACGTTCGCTCGTCACGCCGAAGACTCGGGTTTAGATTCCCCAAATGGGTACAATGTGTGAAGCCCATTTCTGGCGTCCCCGCCGTGATATTGCTGGAATATTGCTGGAATATTGCTAAAAGCGGCGTAAAATCATACTCACTCACACTCATAGCCATTATCTGTAATCACAACAGCCATCAGTAATGTCACCACACTGTACATCAATCTCTTCAATTGTATAAACTCAAATATCCTTCATGTATATGTTCTGCTTGTGCATCGTGCATCGTCCTTGCGTTGTGTGTCGGTGTTCTGATCTATACCGAAACGTCGCATCTATTGCAATGAAGGAGCTGACTATCCATAAGCATGTTCCTCTTCACCATACCAGCTTCTAAATGCCGCTTAAAGATGTGTCTTCAGTCCAAAAGAATAGCTTTCTACTACCCCCTTAAACAAATCCGTTTGGTGTAAATGAAAAGTAGTTGTGAAATGTTTCTGTTTGGGTAAGTAGGTGGTACTGGTTTCTTCTCACGACTTGGGCGGGTCCTACCTTTGGAGGTTCGACTCTTTCTCTGTCTTTCAGCCCCATACCCATGCTTTAAGGGTAAAGGTCTACGGCCTACTTCAGAGATGAGTCTGACAGGCGCTGACGTAAATTCCTATATAACTGCAGAAAGGTGCTGACTGTTTAGGCATGGAGTCGATCGTGTTACTGCGACTGTTGCCGTGAGAACATTCCCTCTCCGTGAATCACGTCCAGTGTGTACACACAAAGCCGAGTAGGACATCACAGTCACAAGGTGATCTAAGCCATGGCTCCTTTGTCTTCGACCGTGTTTAAATGACGTAAATTGTTAGTTAAACACCGCTTTGCAAAGGCGGAACTTCTTTTCTCTTTAATTCAAGAGATGATAGAACAATTTCATGAAAAACACACGTGTCTCCTGAGGGAGTTGAAGCCGCAAAGTCCGCACCGAAGATCCAATGTAGACTTCCCCACGATGACACGAGGATATCTACAAATAGTTATTCTGATGAATTGCACGTTTGTGTTATCTGGTAGATTTTCGTTTAAATACATTTTCGTGATTGGGGCTAGGATCATTCATAACAGACATGGGTGGAAATTGTGTATGCAATCGAAAAATGTGCCCGGGGTGGCCCAATAGGAATGACATATTTTCCCTAGGATGTGTATTTCATAAGCCATGTCGCCAAAGAGCCAGGTCACTGACATTATGCCATAGATTACCATTGTACCCAACTCAGCCAGGGTAACAACAAGTAGCATATCTTAACATCCTTCGGTAGGGACCACGCTCTACAACCTGGAGGAGGTCTGAAGACGGTGTGTTGACAATACCTGAACCTCATGTACGATATGCCATACAAATTCCATGTATATACATTATTCGGATGTCCATGTGATCTTTTAATACTCGATGGAGCACATTGCAACAAAACAATAGTTTCCTTACAACTGGGTTTGACGGTACCCCGATTTAGCATGTGTGAAAGAGGAGCACCCAGTGGCTCTAGGAGTGGAATGTGCTGTGGCACCAGTGGTTTCCTGCTGCTACACAGCAATAGTTCACTTCACATGTTTACCTTCTTTATAGCATTTTTTTAAAAAGTTGGAATTTACAAAATGTCATCTTGCCCTGCACATGATCGTCTTCTGACCCAGCGCGAGCCTCTGTGATGACGTCACGGCAACCCAAGCTTCACACAGCGTTCTTCACATCCGTGTTCCACAGCCACAATCACATGCCTGAATCCAAGTTGTCATATTAAAATATGGATATTAATTTATTATTGACGCTGTTGTTTCTGGCCACAGGATGTATGGCAGGTAAGTTGAAATCATACCGATAATGTTTGTTATTCTAATGACACTTAAGTGGAATGTATTTTGTCATGTTAAATGCACACTTGTTGCAGGGTATCGGTCTGATTGTTACATGTGTTGCCCTGGAATATCAACAATGCTAACAATGTATTGAATGACCCTTATACTATGTGTTTCCATTGATGACGTTATTTGAACACAGTGCATCTGATACTTGAATGAGTTGATGTCACGTCAAGCGTCTGTTCATGAAATTACGTTGTTGATATCTACGGATTACACAAGCTGCATGAACATATTATGATATGGTCCTTGCTAGCTCCATGGATCTGCATAGCTTAGGCATTTCAGCAAAAATCCAGGAATCACTTTGAAAGGTATCGCATGTGTTTAAACCAATGGGAATAGAAGAACATTTGTAGGTTTGCTATTTTACAATCACTTATTGTATCATATGATATATAGGCCTAAAGATTCACTACGTCCTCTAGGACGAGGCAGGGAATGGTTCTTCTATTGTTTAACTATCAACAGAAAGGCTCTTCAAAGATGAAAAACTTACATATACATTAAAGTAATTGTAAGTACAATAGTAGTACAGTATACGTATGTGTATGTGTGGTTCAGTTCAGAGGGATACTTGCCCATAAAGGGTAGGTGAATATCGAGTTTCTTTGCAAATATCGAGTTAAAAGGGTAATTTTGCTTGTTGGGACCATGAAATTATATCGAGATATCCGAAATATCGAGGCATCCGTATCGAGTTAAAAGAGCTTGAATAATGATAAATAATGAAGGATTTTGCCGGGACTGAGATGTTATATCGAGACAACCGAGATATCGAGTTATCAGAGTTCGATACAACAGTGCTCGACTGTATATATATATAGAACGACAGTCAAAGTTCATTACCAAGAAAAACACGCATTTTTGGCTGATGTTAGCTAGACGTTTGCATTTGCTCATTTCCAGAAACCAAAACCTATGATGTCGGATAACTGTCAGACAGATACTTCCGCACTTTTAATGATATAATTTCCAATAAGCTAAAAATATTCCTGCATATCTTGTTTACTTTCATAAATGTCCTTCATTGTCGCCGTAGGCGCGGGTTCGATTCCCCACAAAAGTACAATGTGTGAAGCCAATTTCCGGTGTTTCTAACCGTGATACCGCTGGAATATTGCTAAAAGCGGCGTAAAATCCAACTCATTCACTCACTCATTGTCAACACTGAACCGGAAACTGGTCATGTGACTTTGACGAGTGCGTGACATCGTGAGTCGTATCCGGGTTGACAGTCGCTGGTATTCCTCTGTATACACAAGTATGTTCACTGTTCAGGTCATTGTTGAAATACTGCTTACTTCCCTCATTCACCCAATCCAGATTGAGATGCCCTCATTGAATACAGACACCGGGTGGTTGGGAGTCGTAAAGGCTTTCATGAGACAATCGAGGACATTCAAATAAGTGACTCAAAGTAATGTCAGTTTGAAACCTATAGTCAGGCAAACGTATTTGTTGGGTTTAACGCCAATTTGAATAGTGAGTGAGTAAGTGAGTTTAGTTTTAATAATAGTTCCATTTGTATAGCGCTTTTCCACACATCAATGCACGATAAAAGCGCTTTTTACGCCGCTTTTAGCAATATTCCAGCAATATCACGGCGTGGGGACACCAGAAATGGGCTTCACACATTGTACCCAAGTGAGGAATCGAACCCGGGTCTTCAGCGTGACGAGCGAACGCTTTAACCACTAGGCTACCCCACCGCCCCTCACTTGAATAACCCGGAAGTGGACAACCAAAGACCCTATCGGTGATGAGATGTTCTGTGATTATGAGCGTCTTGTGATGTATGGTGGACCCCAATGGTGGTTTACCTTTTCGGTGTCATCACATTCTGTAACGGTCGTGAATCTCTGTGTGTTGTATTCTTAACTAAGTATACGAAAATATTTTAGCGGTACCAAATTATGAAAACGTAGCATTCGTTCCTGGACTTTCATACGCCAGCTCTGTGTTCCCGTGCATGCACGGGCAGGAGTTTAGTTTTGTGTCCGTCTTTTCAATTTGAATGCGCATAGGATTCAACATTTTGCGTCTGGTGGTAAGTCGCGGTATTCGGTTTCTCAGATTTATCAATACATTAACGAACAGATCAGTATATTTAGTTTTTTATCTGTTCTGTGATCTGGATACTTTATCATGTTATTGTTTTCCCACGAAACAAACAAGTGTGTGTTGCCCCAGCCCGTCGTCCTGCATCGGCTTATGTCATCCGCTATGTAACAAGAATGGCGTGCAGCGTGAGAATGCGAGCTGTTTCTGTATTCCAGCGATGCTACCGTATGTTCGGAATGGGCGGTATTTAGCTGCGTTGCTTAGTTTAGACGAATAGCTTCCTGATGTGAGAAAATCAAACCGTTCTCTCCGTAGGTCGCAACGTCCTTCTGATACCAAACCCACGCGGCTGCCCCCTCCACACACTGTTGTGTGGCTCTGAGCGACACGTGTAACTGAGCGGCACCCATATTGCTCATTCAGTTTATCTTATTACGACACTAATTCTGGTGATGATGGTGCTCAGGTAGTATTAGGGTGATTAATTTCACTGGCATAAGGGGATGATTGGCCAGATGCAATTCGGAGGATAATGATGAAGAAACCAGGGAAAGGCGTTACTCCGAAGATACTAGATGTCAATGCGTCTCAGGTTCCGTGTCACCCGTCTATGATATTCAGTGTGAGGCTTGCGTCCCTTAGTTGTGTCGGGATTCGCTCATCACTGTTTGGGATAAAGATCTCCCTGATTGTAAACTTTGGTCAGGGGAAGGTCAACCATGCCCATGGGTGGCCGGTAAGGGTAAAGGACGTAGGTCGGTGGTTTCTGTGAGATTCCATAAAGAAACACGTAAACATGGTACTTGTTGTTACCCCGACTTGTGCTCGGCGTTAAGGGGATGAACAAGGTCTCGGAATGTCAGTATGCGCTGTCCAAGAGATGTACCCATGTCAAAGTGTTACGTTCGCCATGGGTGTGTGAGTGAGTTCAGTTTTACGCCGCACTCAGCAATATTCCAGCTATATGGCGGCGGTCTGTAAATAATCGTGTCTGGACCTGGCATTCCAGTGATCAACAGCATGAGCATCGATCTGCGCAACTGGGAACCGATGACATATGTCAACCAAGTCAGCGAGCCCGACCACCTGATCCCGTTAGTCGCCTCTTACGACAAGCATGGGTTACTGATGGTTCATTCTAACCCGCACCTTCACGGGTCCGTTCGCCGTGGTATCTCAATTGATAAGCACTGTTAAACCGATATAAGTCCCAACTAATGCCAGCATTCCACCCACGAACCTTCACACACACCTAAATCCTATGTATACAAGTGCATTAACCCTGTCCAGCTTCGCCTGTGTATAGTCACCAACAGTTACACTGATAAACGTCGAGAAACGAACCGAACGTGTGTCACATGCGACTAGAATTAACCTACTTCCTATGGCTGCTATTTCGTCTTCGCCTCGTGTCTCTGAAGCTTACTACAACCTCACAGCTATCAAAAGCCCACTGCCACATGTTCAGCGACAGAGTTTGTAATCAGCCCCATTGTAGGCTGTTTATACACCTTTCTCGAACGAAGGGACCCGTTCCACACCGCAAGCGTTGCGCGACAACAGACGTAAGTCTATGTTTAAAATACTGGAGTGGCGGTCACCGTACCGCTGGCATCGCTTTGTTAAAAGGCGCCAACCGTCGTAATATCTGAACCATTCCAGTTTGGGTAACGAATCTCATAGTGTATTTACGTTACCAGAGTCAACAGACAGTGTAGCTATATATTCCACAGCAAGCATGGTTGTTATGACTGTAGTCTGTTAAGAAACTAATTGACCATGTTGTGTGAATAGTGTCAGTTTCCTGCGCTGTAAACGAAATAATTAACCTGGTACAGGTATCACTGATGGCCTGTCACTTGGCTGTAGCTATTCACCCATACCTGATCTGTCATTTTAGAAATTGGTGAGTTACGAACAAGGTAAGATTAATGGATGACATGTTTACTTTATGATGATATCATAAAGACGTTGTCATCCATGAAGTTTCTCACCTTTGTTGGTCTCTAAGTATATCTCAGAAATCCTGTCGTTTCCACGCAACGTTGGATATTATTACACATTGGAGCACGACATTTTGTGATACTCGATTCTGATTGGCTGAGAGCTCATCAAAACCGTACTTAAATGGCAGTTTAAAGACCGCTAATTAAAGTAACCGATTCACCGTGTATGAATACAATGAACCCATTGACCCTTTTGTTTGTAAACAAACATGTCAGACATGGGCGATTTCTACCTCGGCAGCGTTCGGTTTCTAAATTACATTTAGCGGTCTTAAAGCAACAATAAAGGACCGCAAAATATAAAACAGAGTATCTTTATCTTCTAATTATAACCGTTCACTACAGTGGAAAACGTCTGAGAATGGTTTAACTGAGTATTGTTCAAAGCGGTATTAAACCTCACTGACTCACTCTGTAAAGTAATAACCGAAATATTGTTTCGTTTAACTCAAGTTAATTCTCCCTCATCCGTCAAAGCGCCATCCCCCATCTTCGTTCACTTGTACTGGATCGGACTCTTTACCTATACGCAGGTCATGAATGTCTGCCGTTATCTGAACACGCTATTCCGGCCACATGATAACTACATTTAAAATTGAAAATGTTTCTTAGGTTATACTGTTTCGGTGTTTCTGTTTTTCAGTCGGAACATGCCAACCTTTATCTGTAGATATGTCTCTGTAATCTATGTCAGAAACAGGGTCTTTATATCCTGATTTAGCACAAGCTATAAGCGTGCCATAGTTTGACTCGCCTTGTTTGTTTGTGCTATAACTGCGGGATTTATTATTGAAGTTAGCGAGAAAACTATATGTGTGCCGTGTATACAAATGTTGGTAGGGAACATCATCTTACATATGCCTCATTATCACTTGGGTACATCACGATATATCATCACTAGGGAACTCATGATGTCAATATCTAAATGCCCATCAAGCATCTAGTATCAAAAGGGTTCCTTACTTATGGTCAGACACTTTCTACATTCCTGGGGAAAATCGCGCCACTTATCTGTTTTTATAAGTTCAAAAACATACAGATATGGACACCTTTGTTTTATATACCTACGTGTCATCGTACTTACATCCTTTGGTAAGATCATGTTACGCATCTGCCCTTGGAACATCACATCACTGGGGATGTCAAGATACACATGTCTCTGTCGAATACAAATATTACTTTGGGGTATCACGGTACATTTATCACTTATGAATAATATGGTACGTATCTCCCTCAGGAAACGATTAAACATCACGGTACAAGGTACATGGTAAACGGCACACGGTACATGCATTCCTTGGGTACATTACGGTACACGGTACATGCGTCCCTTGGATACATCACGGTACACGGTACATGCATCCCTTGGATAAATTACGGTACACGGTACATGCGTCCCTTGGATACATTACGGTACACGGTACATGCGTCCCTTGGATACATTACGGTACACGGTACATACATCCCTTGGATACATCACGGTACACGGTACATACATCCCTTGGATACATTACAGTACACGGTACATGCGTCCTTTGGACACAGTACGGTACACGGTACATATATCCCTTGGATACATTACGGTACACGGTTCATATATCCCTTGGATACATTACGGTACACGGTACATATGTCCCTTTGATACATTACGGTACGTATCTCCTTTGTTACAGCACGGTACATGTATCCCTTCGGAATACCTCGGTGTTTAGACATGTTGTGAATATAGTGGTACATACATCCCTTGGATACATTACGGTACACGGTACATACATCCCTTGGATACATTACGGTACACGGTACATGCGTCCCTTGGATACATTACGGTACACGGTACATACATCCCTTTGATACATTACGGTACGTATCTCCTTTGTTACAGCACGGCACATGTATCCCTTCGGAATACCTCGGTGTTTAGACATGTTGTGAATATAGTGGTACATACATCCCTTGGGGACATCACGATATATCACCAGTAGTGACCAAACCTTTACGAGTTGGTTAATAACAGTTTCACCTACTTGTGATACATCCTTGTAGAATATATCAGACTATTAGACACATGTTGGACATATCGTCCACTCCCTGCCAACAACGGAGCGCGTGTACTCCTAAATCTCTCACTCATGCTACACACATGTTTAAAACGGGCCAGGTACATCACTGAAACGAAGGCCATTTCAAACACAGCTATGTTATTGCAGCTATCTTCAAGTCTGTGATGGGATATAAGTGTTCTGGTTTGATATACATGGGGAGTGAGTGAGTGATTTGGGTTTAGCGCCGATTATATTTATCATATTGATATTATCATAGTATGAATACACAATATCATTTAGAAATTCTACCTCACTGAGAAAGTGTAATCCCACCTATGTTAACAAATGTTACATTTCACTACTTTTATGTAGCATTGTGCATTTACAACTGTCATCCGTGGTAGCTGTTCCTGTGTACACTCGTGACTGGGGTACACAGTACACACAGTACGTGGTCTAGACTACCAGTTGTCAGACTTCCATTTTTGAGGAACCTGCGATGGCTGAGTGGGTTAGATGGCTGACTTTGTGTGCTGGTGATTAGATGCTTGACTCTGGGAGTGTGGTTTTGAATTCCGGATGGGGCCCAAGCAAAACATTTCTAGAATCTGTACTTTAATGAGAAAGAGTATATGTTACTATTCTAGAACCGTTTTTTTTCATGGATTATTACTTCAGTAGTTATAATGGCAGGTATTCGTCACCTCGTCACCCATCTGACTGTTATCCTTTGTCTGTCATCATAGCTGAGTTCAGACTCGGTCTAGCGGGTCATGTTTGTTCTCACTAATGTTGGGAAGTGGTTAAAATCTCATAATTGATGATTGGTTCATTACAACCGATCAATCATCGAAAATAATTGGTTAGCGTCATTTATGAAATTTTCCTGTGTGCACAAAAACATAAAGAAAAAACTTGTAGTTCTTTGGTTGTTTTTCCCGCAAATTGCACATCTTTAAAGGATGACAAGTATGTTAGGAACATAAATTTCTTGGACTCTTTAAGATAAATTCAATCATGACTTGGACCGAGCTTGTAGTGCTCATGAAATATAACAGACAAAACCAACCTTGTGAAAAAAAATTGTTAATGCAAAAGGTGTTCCAGAATTGTTTGTATTCGATTATGAGAAAACATGATCGATTGCTTGGTCGTTTAGTCACTGCGACCAATCTTCGATTATTTCAATTAATCGGACCACCACTAGTTCTCACCTATACTAACGCTTAACCTCAGAAAATATATATTTCTCATAGAAACAAATATCTCTGTTTAAATTTATAAGGAGACCCAGTGGGAGATTCGGAGGCTGAAGAAAATTTAGACGTTCTATATTTAGAGCTTTTGCATTACATGTATGCCTCGAAGGAATGGAAAATACTATGGTTCCTTGAGACAGACTAGTTCTGACCGTAATATTCCACAGTCGACCTCGTGTAGGCTTCCCACTGCTCGCCTAAACAATGGAACTTTCTAGCTGTCCTATGCAAGCGGAAACCTCGATCCACCGCATCCACTTGGTTTCCTTCCGTTGTAATGGTAGTTATTTGTCAAATTAGGCGTAACCAACAACTCCAACTGTGCCACGGAAATAAACTCGGCTTACTCACTATTCGCTTTGCAGCTCAGAGGCGCCAAGGAGAAAGGTTTTACAAGCGATCCAGAAGGCGGAACAATCATGTTTTTCGCGCTACGGGTGAAGGTCGACGGGGAAAGATGAGGAGTGCTATGTTGCAGGCGATGCTGCCGTATGAAGCCGTTGAGAACGTCCCGGTCAAGGAGAGGATGGACGTGTCCCTGTGGCAGACCAGGAGTCACACGAAACCAAAACGACGTCGTTCAAAGAGATGGATTCCAGGTACGTCTCATCTGCAGCTGAAATCAGGTCCTATAGTCACGGATCTTCAGTTTGCAAACAGTGAGTATGGTTTTACGCCGCTTTTAGCAATATTCCACCAATATCACGGCGGGGGACACCAGAAATGGACTTCGAACATTGAATCGAACCCGGGCCTTCGGCGTGACGCTTTAACCACTAGGCTACCCCACCACCAATGACAGTAATAGTGGAGGTGGTGGCAGTGTTGCTTGTAGTGGGGGTTGCTTAACTACAAAAGCGTGTCGTTGGAATCGATATAATTTCGCATCTGGCTACTTGGGGTAACCAAAACCTGTTGTAGAGAATCCTCTGAAGAATAATCTACACTAGGGTTTCTAAAAACGGTCACTGGATGTGAGGGATATGTTTTGTGGTTTTATAGGTGTCTTTCAATAGACTGTAATAGACTAAAAACTATTCTTTCTCAAATAAATATCACTGCCATAATCCCGTTTTTGCCCAGGAATCTAAGTCCCCTGTATTTGGGGCGTTCTGTGGGCATGGTCTCCCCAAGATGTACGTCTTGTTTTAACTGCTAAGTAATGGGGACACATTGTGGTCATATGCATCAGTTCTGAGTACGCCATGTTCAGCTCCTTTATGTCAGGATGTGCTGATAGTGGGTTCGAACCTCAGATATGCCTGAATTGTTGTCCTTGGTCTGTACTGTATCTTCCTAGGTTTTATACATCTAAGACTTGCGCCACATTAAGCACTGACCCCACATTAAGCACCCCACATTGCACCCGCCGTGACCGTGACACAACTGAAATACTGTTATAAAAGGGTAAGAAGTAGTTCACTCCTTCCCAAACTGTAATCTGACAAAGCTCACGGACAACCTTCGTCTGTAGTGTGGGAGCACACCTCATCACTCGTGTTTTGCTGTTGTCATACGCTACATTGTATAAAAAGCATTGTGTATTCAAAGCTATTGTTACAGATTTTCCACGTGATACACATGTGGCCTACAAAACGGAGGCAAGAAACAGAACACAGGGTCAACCATGGCCATTACCACGTAACTTCCGGTCTGACTCCAACATGGTTTATCAGCTAGATACTAACTTCCGGTTTGTTATTAGCCCGTCGTCTCGGTCGTGTGTGACGCTCAGAAAGGCACTGAGACGCTACTACGTCATTATTACGGGTCGGCCGCCCAGTACACAATCAGTAGTCATCAGAGACCAGGGAGAGTTCGAACCTTCTATGGAACCAGGCAACCCTGCTCGTCTGCACAACGTGGTGGTGTCAGTGCTATACTCGTGCAGTGAGACGTATCCAGAACCAACTGCCAATGAAACATGTACGTACACCTTATAACATCACACTAGCGTAATGATCGTAATAGACGTCTTAATGAGCGGGTGAATGTATCTTAGGCTGCACAAATCACAGATTATCGCCCCATAGCAATGGTGATCAGTACTTCGAATCACTTATTCTTCCTAAATAGGAGCTTATGGTCAGTCAGATGGAAAAGCATTCTATGCGGAAGTCCCATTCCAATGCACTTGTACAGTGAGCTCAAGGAACTGCATGTGTAGTTAGACGCAAAGACGAATTACGTGGTATACCTGATGCCTTGTGTGAATATAAATATAAATGACATGATTCAGACTGAACAAGATAACTTTTTCACTATTTCCTAAGCTGATACACCTGTTTACTGGAAACAATTCTGTTCACTTCAGACACATTACAGATCAACAACAACTCGGCGTCCATCACGGCCGGTGAGGTGTGGGGAGCTTTGAGGGGCCTGGAGACATTGTCCCGGCTGGTATATCTATCAGATCACAGGCAGGTACATATAGCAGCTCATAGACAGCAGGTACATATAGCAGCTCATAGACAGCAGGTACATGTATCAGCCCACAGATCAAGCAGGTACACCATATGAAATTACAGAACGGCAGGTACATATTGCCGGTGGCATGCGGTCAGTAACTAGTACATATAGCAGCTCATAGTCAAGCCCACTACATACAGCCATCAGGTACATATAGCGAAGATCATAGTCGGCACGGTAGGTGTATGGTCCCCAGCTCATGATCGTAATATGTGTCTGTCTGGCTTGGCCCTCAGACATTAGCGAGACCATCGTTGGTAACTACCTCACCATCAGATCATGTGTCAGTCAGGTACATACAGCAGCTCATAGACAATCAGGTATGTAGTTAGATCATAGTCGGCAGGTACGATGTGTACGACCTCGGTCCTCACTGTCTGGCTTGCCATTCTTCTCAGGTCTCCATCACGGTCCCCGACCTCACCATTATATGTGTCTGTCTGGGGTACCTGCCCTGCCTTACCCTGACCATCCGGTCTCCCTACACCATCGCTATATGTGTCTGTCTGGGGTCTTGGCCCTCCTCGTTACCACATTATATCACGGTCTCTAGTCACCACTGTTATATATGTCCTGTCTGGGGTACCTCCTCCCCGAGTTACCCTGACCATCATCGGTTCTCCATCCTCACCATCGCTATATGTGTCTGTCTGGGTACTTGGCCGGCTCAAGTCATGCTACCCTGACTATCACTGGTCTCCGTCCTCACCACACCATCGTTATATGTGTCTGTCTGGGGTACCTGTGTCCCTCCTGAGGTACACCTGACCATCATGGTCTCCATCCTCACCATCGCTATATGTGTCTGTCTGGGGTACCTGGCCCTCCCATGTTACTCCTGACTCATCACGGTCTCCGTCCTCACCATCCGTTATATGTGTCTGTCTGGCGTACCTTTTGCCCTCCCGTGTTACTCCTGACCATCATGGTCTCCGTCCTCACCATCACAATATGTGTCTGTCTGGGGTACCTGGCCCTCCCCTGTTACTTCCCTGACCATCACGGTCTCCGTCCTCACCATCATCATATGTGTGTCTGTCTGGCGTACCTGGCCCTCCCCTGTGTTACCCTGACCATCATGGTCTCCCTCCTCACCATCGCTATATGTGTCTGTCTGGCATACCTGGCCCTCTCCCTGCTTACCCCTGACCATCACGGTCTCCGTCCTCACCATCGTTATATGTGTCTGTCTGGGGTACCTGGCCCTCCCAAGTGTTACCCTGACCATCACGGTCTCCGTCCTCACCATCACAATATGTGTCTGTCTGGGGTACCTGGCCCTCCTGCGTGTGTTACCCTGACCATCACGGTCTCCGACCTCACCATCATTATATGTGTCTGTCTGGGGTACCTGGCCCTCCCAAGCGTTACCCCTGACCATCACGTCTCCCCCGACCTCACCATCCGGTTATATGTGTCTGTCTGGCTGTACCTGGCCCTCCTGCGTTACCTCCTGACCATCACGGTCTCCGTCCTCACCATCATTATATGTGTCTGTCTGGGGTACCTGGCCCTCCCTCAGCATGTTACCCTGACCATCACGGTCCCCGACCTCACCATCGTTATATGTGTCTGTCTGGGGTACCTGACCCTCCCGAGTTACCCTGACCATCATGGTCTCCGTCCTCACCATCGTTATATGTGTCTGTCTGGGGTACCTGGCCCTCCTGCGCGTTACCCTGACCATCACGTTCCCCGACCTCACCATCGTTATATGTGTCTGTCTGGGGTACCTGGCCCTCCCCAAGTGCTACCTCCTGACCATCACGGTCTCCGTCCTCACCATCGTTATATGTGTCTGTCTGGGGTACCTGGCCCTCCCACAGCGTTACCCCTGACCATCACGTTCCCCGACCTCACCATCGTTATATGTGTCTGTCTGGGGTACCTGGCCCTCCCAAGCGTTACCCTGACTGACCATCATGGTCTCCTGGCCCTCACCATCGTTATATGTGTCTGTCTGGGGTACCTGGCCCTCCCGCGTTACCCTGACCATCACGGTCCCCGACCTCACCATCGTTATATGTGTCTGTCTGGCGTACCTGGCCCTTCCGTGTTACCCTGACCATCATGGTCCCCGACCTCACCATCACAATATGTGTCTGTCTGGGGTACCTGGCCCTCCCACAGTTACCCCTGACCATCACGGTCCCCAACCTCACCATCATTATATATGTGTCTGTCTGGGGTACCTTGGCCCTCCTGAGTTACCCTGACCATCACGGTCTCTGTCCTCACCATCGTTATATGTGTCTGTCTGTGTACCTGGCCCTCCCAAGCGTTACCCTGACTGTCACGGTCTCCGTCCTCACCATCATTATATGTGTCTGTCTGGGGTACCTGACCCTCCTGCGTTACTCCCATGACAATCACGGTCCTGGCCTCGTCCTCACCATCATTATATGTGTCTGTCTGGGGTACCTGGCTCCTCCCAAGCATTACCCTGACCATCACGGTCTCCGTCCTCACCATCATTATATGTGTCTGTCTGGGGTACCTGGCCCTCCCGGAAGTTACCCTGACCATCATGGTCTCCGTCCTCACCATCGCTATATGTGTCTCTGTCTGGCGTACCTTACCCTCCTCCGCGTTGCCCTGACCATCACGGTCTCCGTCCTCACCATCATTATATGTGTCTGTCTGGGGTACCTGGCCCTCCCTGCGTTACCCTGACCATCACGGGTCCTCCGTCCTCACCATCGTTATATGTGTGTGTCTGGCGTACCTGGCCCTCCCACCATGCGTTACCCTGACCATCACGTTCCCTGACCTCACCATCACAATATGTGTCTGTCTGGGGTACCTGGCCCTCCCGCTGTTACGTTACCCTGACCATCACGGTCTCCCCTCCCAAGTTACCTCACCATCACGATATATGTGTCTGTCTGGGGTACCTGGCCCTCCCCCGCGTTACCTCCTGACCATCACGGTCCTGATCCTCACCATCGTTATATGTGTCTGTCTGGGGTACCTGGCCCTCCTGAGTTACCCTGACCATCATGGTCTCCGTCCTCACCATCGCTATATGTGTCTGTCTGGCGTACCTGGCCCTCCCGTGTTACCCTGACCATCACGGTCTCCGTCCTCACCATCATTATATGTGTCTGTCTGGGGTACCTGGCCCTCCCGCGTTACCCTGACTATCACGGTCTCCGTCCTCACCATCGTTATATGTGTCTGTCTGGGTACCTGGCCCTCCTGCGTTACCCTGACCATCACGGTCCCCGACCTCACCATCATTATATGTCCTCACCTGGCCATCATTATATGTGTCTGTCTGGGGTACCTGGCCCTCCCCGTTACCCTGACCATCATGGTCTCCGACCTCACCATCATTATATGTGTCTGTCTGGGGTACCTGGCCCTTCCCGTTACCCTGACCATCACGGTCTCCGTCCTCACCATCGTTATATGTGTCTGTCTGGCGTACCTGGCCCTCCCGCGTTACCCTGACCATCACGGTCTCCGTCCTCACCATCGTTATATGTGTCTGTCTGGGGTACCTGGCCCTCCCGCGTTACCCTGACCATCACGGTCTCCGTCCTCACCATCGTTATATGTGTCTGTCTGGGGTACCTGGCCCTCCCGTGTTACCCTGACCATCACGGTCTCCGACCTCACCATCATTATATGTGTCTGTCTGGGGTACCTGGCCCTCCCGCATTACCCTGACCATCACGGTCTCCGTCCTCACCATCGTTATATGTGTCTGTCTGGGGTACCTGGCCCTCCCGCGTTACCCTGACCATCACGGTCTCCGACCTCACCATCGTTATATGTGTCTGTCTGGGGTACCTGGCCCTCCTGCGTTACCCTGACCATCACGGTCCCCGACCTCACCATCGTTATATGTGTCTGTCTGGGGTACCTGGCCCTCCCTGCGTTACCCTGACCATCACGGTCCCCGACCTCACCATCGTTATATGTGTCTGTCTGGGGTACCTGGCCCTCCCGCGTTACCCTGACCATCACGGTCTCCGACCTCACCATCGTTATATGTGTCTGTCTGGGGTACCTGGCCCTCCCGCGTTACCCTGACCATCACGGTCCCCGACCTCACCATCGTTATATGTGTCTGTCTGGGGTACCTGGCCCTCCCGTGTTACCCTGACCATCACGGTCCCCGACCTCACCATCGTTATATGTGTCTGTCTGGGGTACCTGGCCCTCCTGCGTTACCCTGACCATCACGGTCCCCGACCTCACCATCGTTATATGTGTGTCTGTCTGGGGTACCTGGCCCTCCCGCGTTACCCTGACTATCACGGTCTCCGTCCTCACCATCGTTATATGTGTCTGTCTGGGGTTCCTGGCCCTCCTCCCTGTATTGCGTTACCCTGACCATCACGGTCCCCGACCTCACCATCGTTATATGTGTCTGTCTGGCGTACCTGGCCCTTCCGTGTTACCCTGACCATCATGGTCCCCGACCTCACCATCACAATATGTGTGTCTGTCTGGGGTACCTGGCCCTTCCGTGTTACCCTGACCATCACGGTCCCCGACCCCACCATCGTTATATGTGTCTGTCTGGGGTACCTGGCCCTCCCGTGTTACCCTGACCATCACGGTCCCCGACCTCACCATCGTTATATGTGTCAGTCTGGGGTACCTGGCCCTCCCGTGTTACCCTGACCATCACGGTCCCCGACCTCACCATCGTTATATGTGTCTGTCTGGGGTACCTGGCCCTCCCGTGTTACCCTGACCGTCACCATCCCATGCTTCACTACCTGGCATGAGGAAGCCACACAAGATACAAATGCCATTAGTGTTAAGGAAGCGTTTCCTTTGTTAAGCGTTCATTGCCTTATGTTATGTTGAATGTGACAGGTGTTATCACATATGTGTTGATTGTCTTTTATTTATTCATTCAGTGTATGCTTTCCTTCGATCAGCAAATTACATACTTCTCTAACCCTACACAGGATATGGCGATGGTAGCTGTGCAGTGATCGCCATACATTGATAGCTGGTCATTGTATGTTCCAGCCGTGTGTTCACATGACCGACATTGTGGACTTCCCCCGGTTCCATCACCGCGGCGTCATGATCAACACCGGCACACACTTCCTCCACCCAACAACAATCAAGGAGAACCTGGTGAGACGTAACAACACAACGACCATCAGAATTATAGTTCTATTCCGAGAGTGCCCCCTAGTTTCTGTTATGTTTTGCTAGTTCCTAATATATCTCTGTCTCCTCCAGGAGGTCATGGAACAGAACAAGCTGAATGTCCTGCACTGGCGCTTGGTAGATGACCAGTCCTTTCCCTGGGTCAGCAAATCATATCCTGGCCTCAGGAACAAGGTGAGTATCCCACTGTGTAATAAAAAACGTTCCACCCTTGCCTCAACAACAATGTAAGCACATCATGCCCTGATCTAACGGGAACAATGAGGCCCAGTGAGGTCACCCATTGATATCGGATGTCCGGCAAGAGGATGTTACCATAAAGTGGCACGACGGCGGTATCCAGTACTTCCAGATGGTAACGCTGACAAGGTACTGTGTAGAGCCCTGCGATATTATGATAACAGTGATCCTGCGCCATGTCCGCAAGTTGTTCTTTCCTTGGAACCTGCACCACGCCAGACGTTCCTGGCTGTGCCTGTCTGTGAGTAAGGGACGATGTGCCGGCAGACCTTCAGCATGTTTGCCTTTAACCCTGAAAAGATTCAGGCCCTAAGGACCCAGAACCATATAAAGTTGTGATCAGAATGTGTAGGCTCTATATTTTAGCTACAATGTAAGTTTTAGCTGTAATGTAATTCCCAGCAAACAAAAATGTGACAACTATAACAAACTGAGTTAAAGAATTGAATTTAAGCTGTCGGCCATAAAGACCTGCAGAAAAGCTGTGAGTCCAAGTGGTTTTCAGTCGGCTTCGGGCCTAAGGACCGACGTTAATTTCGTACGGTGGCATGGAACGTCTTTCTCATGGTACTGGTGGAGAGTCGGACTTCCACTCTCCATTGCTGGATCCGTACTTCGGCATGGGGCATGGGATCTGTGTATCTATCTATCTCTTACATACATAAGGTTCTGTCTGTCTGCCTGTAATATAAATAACGTGTTGAGTATGACTTTCCTCAGGACTCCTACAAAGACGTACGACGCAGCGGACTTTGCGGATATCGTAGAGTTTGCCAGACAGAGGGGCATCCGGGTACTTCCTGAGCTCGACTCTCCAGGTAAGATGCCAGTCCCAGTACAAGCTCTACTGTGAAGGGACCCGTGAAGGTCCGGGTTAGAATATTGATCTTCAGTAACCCATGCTTGTCGTAAGAGGCGACTAACGGGATCGGGTGGTCAGGCTTGCTGACTTGGTTGATACATGTCATCAGTTCCCAATTGCGCAGATCATGCTCATGCTGCTGATCACTGGATTGTCTGGTACAGACTCGATTATTTACAGACCGCCGCCATATAGCTGGAATATTGCTGAGTGCGTCGTAAAACTAAACTCACTCACTACTGTGAAGGCTTGTGGAAATGTATGAGTGAGTTCGGTTACAGCTAAATTTCAGTTGAAATTCTGTGGGAATTATAGAGGTCACGGACGCTTATAGCATGAGTGAAACCCATGAACATCTGTATAATGCTGGCAAACCACTGGTCCCACTGGGATTCGAACCACCGGTAATAACTGTATGAAATGTCAAAGAGAGAATTACTGTGCTTCAGACGACTTGACCTGACGCCATGATACGTTTACATTTGACATTTTTGTGAAAAAATCTATTTCCAACTGATTAATGTCAATGATTTTCGTTCTATAATTCAAAGATGTAATATGTGTTGTAAAACTATACTGAACTTCTGAACAATATCTGGCAAATGCCAAACTATAAGTGATCGCTACCTAACCACTTTCAACTCGCCAAGGTCACACCGCCTCTTGGGGAAACGGCGTCCCCGACGTCGTGGTCGACTGTGCCGACGACAACTTGCACCGGGTGCTCGACGTCAGCAGTAACGTCACGTACACGGTGTTGGAAGGGTTGTGGGATGATTTGCTAACAGCGTTCCCGGGACGTTACGTGCATCTTGGAGGGGACGATGTGCCCATGTCGTGTTGGTGAGTGTTTCTGGTTGTGACAGTGAACGCTACGTGCTTTTCGGAAGGGAGGATGTCCATGTCGTGTGCTGCTGCGTGTTGTTACACACGTCTGATATGAACGCCTTACGCACCTTGGAAGAAACGAGTCAAAGTGTCGTGTTATTATTAAAGGTCTTCAGAAAGTACTTACTCAACCCGTCCTAGAAACGTTCGGAGTTCTTGTTGCCAAACGTAACACTCACTTTTCGTTTCCAGGGCTAAATCCAAAGATATCGTTAGATTCATGGAAAGAGAAACAATTGAAGATTACAGAGAAGTACAGAATTATTTCACTACCAGGTAGGTGCCTCTGTGCCCAGCGCGAGTCACAGATAGACCTTCATTAATATGAAATTATCACCCAGTATAGTTTAGGAGATATTTGAGAAAGTGTGCGTTTGTAATCCACGTTGTCAAAAACCAGGGGCTGACATCCGACATTTTTCAGATATGGTTGTATAAGAAATTTGTCGTCTGTCTGAGTTGAGCAACGGCAGCGTCAGAACTATTTGCTGCATGTGTGCCAAGGGTAGCGACTTCCGTCATTTTCCGGAAGTGTGTGTTGTTCACTTTGCTCGTGATCATGTAATGTGTCTTGACTACTTCGAATGAAGTAAGCTATACAATAATGAGAATGTTGGAAATGGTTTACCTGTCCCAAACACGAATCACGTATTCATGACCGTACAACATATATATCTTGGCATGCTTCCTCACTTAAATATATTCAATGTTTCAGTGATCTAATCCTGCTACCAACGCTCTATTTTAAGTCTCAGTTTAATGGGTTTACTTTCAGCGTACAAAACAAACTAAGTGGATAATGAAAGAAACACAGCGATAATATAAACACTGAAACAAAATAGGCATCCTGTTTCTAAGAGTTCGACGTGGGTGCTGATTGGCTGGTTACCTCCCTTGGATATCTCCGCCAGAGGGAGCTGCCAATACCGCACCACTCCACCCTCAAAGCAGACGGTGTTTGGCATGATTGGATTGTGTGGTTGTCGCCAGCAGATCAAAAACGCCAGCATCACCTTTGCTCATTATAATGACGTCGTCACATGAGCGAAATATTCTCAAGCACGACGTTAAACCCAATTTCACCTCACCTCACCTCATTATAATGGCACAACTTAAAAACCGCAATCCGTCCAAAACCGCCTAAGATCATTTGAGAAATGTGTGGGCAAAGAAAGTCAGACAGTGACTCATACTGCATGGTGCAGGACGATGTATTTGCGCGACGTTCATGTCGGCACTGTCTGGGTCGAGAGTGGCTTACACTTCCTGACGCGCATGACTGCCTGTGTAGAGTCAAAGATAACATGTTCACGTCGTTCCCAGGGCAGGCGTTTTAATTCTTTTTTAAAAAGTGGTTAGGAAAAGTTGTGTAAAAAACAACATCTTACACGTGCATTGATGAGTGAGAGACGAATGTTTCGCCTGACATACACACCCTGTTGTTGACAAAAGTCTGGAAAACAATCATCGGGTGTGTTTTAAAGAAGCTTTATCACTCTTCACGGTCCGCTGTCTATATTCAGTCGAGTCTGAGGTCAGGACTTCGTAGCTTGTACCCTGCACGAAACTCCATTGTTGATGTGTAATTAGAGAAATGGTTATCTGCTTCAATGCTATACATAATATTAGTAGACAAACAATACAGTGTTTGATCGAACTCAGTCAATTTTGCCATTCCTGCTAATTAGCACTTGTCTGGCCCTCCTCTCCCATGACGCCGTTACCATGACAACCTGTCACGGGAACAAACAACTCTGGTCTTGTCTTAGGAATCAGAAGGTCGGCGAATCGACACATTTCTGTATTTTTATTGGTTTAATGTATTTTATGAATTTGAATTTTGTGTGACATTTGTGATGCTGGTAAGTGAAGAATACCCTTTCGAGCAATGTAGCATATATATGTCGTTTTACAGTGCCCTGCCCTGCCCTGCCCTGCCCTGCCCTGCTTATCCGATTTTGGTATCTTAAATACAAAAATCTAGAGGCGCTGTTATGTTGACAATATGCACACTTTCTAAAAGTCGTAAATAAATTAAATCGAATCATTTTAGAAAACTGACATCTGATTGGCTTAATAACCCACATATTGTCATTCGATTGGGCTGTCAAAATATGTCCAGGCTGCACCTGACGAGATGGCTAAGTACAGTGATCTCTTCAGACACACATACTGATGTATCATATCGGACTTAAAGATCTTGGCCTATCGCTGAGGATCACGTGGTTATGGCCTAATCCTTACTCCTTGTCCAAACCTAGACTAACAACTACTCTATGAAATAAACATACTTTACATAAAATATAATGAAAAGGAGGCTTGGTACTTTCTCCATTTTCAGAAGCTGTGAAAATCTAGACTTGCCACATTTTCTAGATTTGCGTGGGCTTTCTTAGATATATTGCTTCAGGGTCTGTATGACAAACTAGTCCCCCTGACTTTCCCTGGTTAGGTTGTTAGTAATATATATGCCAGTGTTTTGAATCAAGTAGCCATGCTGCTTTGACCATGACTTGCCCTTACATCAGGAGTAATTGTTTGTTGCAGATTGTCAAGTATTGTGAATCAGCTGGACAGCAAGAGGACGCTTGTGTTCTGGCAGGATGTACTGGACATTGAAGTCAGTGTACGTACGTGTAGATGTGAAAGTGTGTTCGGCAGCAGAATCACGTGTACGATGTCAGCATGTGCTAGACAGTACACAGAAGTGTTCGTATGTTACCTAACGACAGTTGACGTGCGGTACGTAATGGTGTCAGCAGGTCTAAATACTACACAGAAGTGTTCGTATGTTACCTAACGACAGTTGACGTGCGGTACGTAATGGTGTCAGCAGGTCTAAATACTACGCAGAAGTGTTCGTATGGTACCTAACGACAGTTGACGTACGTAACGATGTCAGCAGGTGCTAGACAGTACACAGAAGTGTTCGTATGGCACCTAACGACAGTTGACGTGCGGTACGTAATGGTGTCAGCAGGTCTAAATACTACGCAGAAGTGTTCGTATGGTACCTAACGACAGTTGACGTACGTAACGATGTCAGCAGGTGCTAGACAGTACACAGAAGTGTTCGTATGGCACCTAACGACAGTTGACGTACGTAACGGTGTCAGCAGGTGCTAGACAGTACACAGAAGTGTTCGTATGTTCCCTGACGACAGTTGATTTACGTTCGATAACGATGTCAGCATGTGCTAGACAGTTGACGTACGGTACGTAACGATGTCAGCAGGTGCTAGACAGTTGATGTACGGTACGTAACGATGTCAGCAGGTGCTAGACAGTAGACGTACGTTACCTAACGATTGTTCTGCTTCACGTGTAGTGGGGTTCAAAGGACGTTCACAGAAGGCGTAAATTGTGTAACGATGGGTCGTTAATCAGATCAGTAGAACATTGGACACATGGGCTGTGCCCTGACTCTGCCCTGATGAATACCAGGTCAGTTGGACCTGTGTTGTCTCATATGCTCCTCGTTTGATATCAGCTTGTCTCTACGTGACAACTGTGTAAACCACCAACTGGGGGTGTTCTGCCTTGGTTCCAGTGTCCCCAGACAATAACTCAACCTCTAGGCCCTGCATCAGCCGTCACATAGGTGATTTTGCATGCTATGTTTTATAGCAATACAGTTCAGGCAATAGTGTCCATGTCGTTTGTAGTTTTTGCTATATAATTGTCTAACATTTTTTAATTCAGATAGATGAACAAGCCATAATTCAAATATGGAAACCTTATCCCAAGGCCGCCATGGCCTTAGCGGTCAGCAGAGGTCATCGGGTCATCTACTCCAGTCCATGGAGTCTGAACTACGTCACATCCGATATGGACTGGTCGAAGTTCTACTTGGCTGATCCGCTGGAACATTCAGGTCAGTGGTGCAACTGTACATCTTAGGAACATACAGGGCAGTGGGTGCGACTGTACATCTTAGGAACATACAGGGCAGTGGGTGCGGCTGTACATCTTAGGCACATACAGGGCACTGGGTGCGACTGTACATCTTAGGAACATACAGGGCAGTGGGTGTGACTGTACATCTTAGGAACATACAGGGCAGTGGGTGCGTATTATAGATACACAGGGTAATGGTAGTATAGTTTACGCACTGGCTTACATGAGGACAATGGAGTCCGGGCCTATCCTAGTTTTAAAGTGCCAGCTCACCGTCGAACCATGTTTAACATGGAAACCCCCGCACCCTGCCCAGACACATTATCACCACTGCGAGCCGACCGGTCCTGCCTTCTTAATGTCTGCATATCAACACTTGGCATGACGGAAACCACCGACCATTTGTGTATTGTTTGTTTTTACATGTACCCTCAGCTACATAATAAACTGATGTGCAAAAGAAAGTACACAGGTTGTGTTTCGTCCAATAAGATAAAAATAACAAAACCTTTTGATGAAATGGAAAATGTATGTTGAAGCACACTGCAATACACGTGTTTTATCAGCAAAATGACATTGTAACAATAAACAGCGATGTAGTGATGACCACTGCAGACGGTTCCTACGATACTGGAAGGTGAAGGCCATTCCACGCAGCGGTCGGTAGGCCCATACATGCCAGCAGAACAAAGTCGTCTTGTCACTGTGAATCGGCTTACGCGATGACCCAATGATGTTGCTGCTGATGACGTCACTGTCAACATCCAGTTGCGTAGGTGAATAACCCGCAGATAGCGATCCTCTTGGGGTGTTGTGACTCTGGAACGTCCACTTCTGGGTCGATCACATGTCTGGCCTGTCGTACTGAAACGGTTAAACAGCCGAATTATGGTTTGTCTTGTGCAACCCAATGTCCTTGCAATAAGCACCCATTTGTGTCATTCCTTTGGCCCGTTCTCGTTGCGCCGACGTCAATCTTGGCATTTCCTCGTGAGATTTCTGTCAAGTGATTGTTCAGTCTTCATGACAAACAGGTTTTATACTCTCTGTCAGAAAAGTGCTGGTGACATGGGACAATAATCACAATTTTGCAAAAATTCGTGCAAAACACGTACAAATGTTTTGGTTGCATTTTGACAAATGAAACATGATGGTTGCGTTCTATACAATCAATGTTTTTCTATAATTTTATTAGTTAGAACGCATATTTGGGGATTGCAACCACAATTACACCTGTGTACTTTCTTTTGCTCGTCAGTTTATTATGTACTAAACAACTAAACACTAAACAAGTTTTAAACTAACCATGTCCTGCTCCGCTGGTTTCACCAGGGTGAGGCAAGTACTAGTCATTGAGGCACTCTGGAGGCACCAGCAACCTGTGACATGAAGACAGGGGCTTGTAACGGAACGTCGCATTGAAACAATCCATAAGTCAGTCGTTATAGGGTGTATTGCACAGTAAACACGTTAGAAGACAACATACCCGTATCTTTGCTTCAGAGAGGGTTGGTTTTAATACCACTATTAACGTTATTTCTTATGGAACGGCTGTCAGACTGATGCATGCGGGATGTCCGATTCAATCTTTTGCCAAAAACGGGTATGTGCTTGTAAACCAAAAAACGTAACCAAACGAATCTGAGAATCGGACTACGGCCTGAGATTCAAACTACAACCAAGGGTTTCAGACACCTAAGGGACGTTGCTCTGCCCTAGAAACCAGACGAATCTGGGATTCAAACTACGTCCTGAGATTCGGACTACGGCCCAGGGGTTCGGCAATCTAAGAGACGTTGCTCTGCCCTAGAAACGTAACCAGGCGAATCTGAGAATCGGACTACGGCCTGAGATTCAAACTACAACCAAGGGTTTCAGCCATCTAAGGGACGTTGCTCTGCCCTAGAAACGTAACCAGGCGAATCTGAGAATCGGACTACAACCAAGGGTTTCAGCCATCTAAGGGACGTTGCTCAGCCCTAGAAACGTAACCAGGCGAATCTGAGAATCGGACTACGGCCTGAGATTCAAGCTACAACCAAGGGTTTCAGCCATCTAAGGGACGTTGCTCTGCCCTAGAAACGTTGCTCTGCCCTAGAAACGTAACCAGGCGAATCTGAGAATCGGACTACGGCCTGAGATTCAAGCTACAACCAAGGGTTTCAGCCATCTAAGAGACGTTGCTCTGCCCTAGAAACGTAACCAGGCGAATCTGAGAATCGGACTACGGCCTGAGATTCAAGCTACAACCAAGGGTTTCAGCCATCTAAGAGACGTTGCTCTGCCCTAGAAACGTAACCAGGCGAATCTGAGAATCGGACTACGGCCTGAAATTCAAACGTCGACCAAGGGTTTCAGCCATCTAAGGGGCGTTGCTCTGCCCCAGAAACGTAACCAGGCGAATCTGAGAATCGAACTACGCTCTGAGATTCGAACTACGGCCCAGGGGTTCGGCCATCTAAGAGACGTTGCTCTGCCCTAGAAACGTAACCAGACGAATCTGAGAATCGGCCTACGCTCTGAGATTCAAACCAGGACCAAGGGTTTCAGACATCTAAGGGACGTTGCTCTGCCCTAGAAACGTAACCAGGCGAATCTGAGAATCGCACTACGGCCTGAGATTCAAACTACAACCAAGGGTTTCAGCCGTCTAAGGGACGTTGCTCTGCCCTAGAAACGTAACCAGACGAATCTGAGAATCGGCCTACGCTCTGAGATTCAAACCAGGACAAAGGGTTTCAGCCATCTAAGGGACATTACTCTGCCCTAGAAACGTAACCAGGCGAATCTGAGAAACGGACTAGGCTCTGAGATTCAAACTACAACCAAGGGTTTCAGCCATCTAAGAGACGTTGCTCTGCCCTAGAAACGTAACCAGACGAATCTGAGAATCGGACTACGCTCTGAGATTCAAACCAGGACCAAGGGTTTCAGCCATCTAAGGGACATTGCTCTGCCCTAGAAACGCAACCAGGCGAATCTGATATTCAAACTACGGCCTGAGATTCGGACTACGGCCCAGGGGTTCGGCCATCTAAGAGACACTGCTCTGGGCGACGTGGTTCCAGTCTCTTCAGACAAACAATGAGGCATGACGAAATGTTGTTTTTCAATGTGATTGTCCGGGTTGCCAGTCTGCAACGCAGTTTACATCAATGCACCGAAACACAGGATGTTTGTGAAGAAAGCATGGTCCCTCTGGAATCTCCTCTGAAAAATACCTACTTCCCCATACATATTGCCCGCACTACACACATAAACCTCATAATGTTGAATGTGAAACACTAATTGGAAACAAGACGTATTGTTTACACAATGAATGCAAGCCAGTTTATCAGAGAGGGTCCACTAGCCCTGCAACCAGGAATCTACACTTCTTGAACTTCCAGCATCATCTGTGGTGCGTGACCCATTGCATGTCGGGTCAGACAGCCTTACCACCGCGCATTGATACATCCACCAACCATCGCGAAGGATAAAAAAAGTTATTTTGGTAACATTACATGCTTATTTATTTCTTTAGCAGATGTTGTCGACATATCAGAGTTAATCATACCAGCTGAACTCCCGTGGCGGTCCTCCATGGCCGGATGTTGCTATCTTCAGCAGGAATTCAGTTATTGCGAACAACGGGTCTTTATCTACAGGGGCGTTGTTTGTGGAGCAGAGGGGCAGGAGCAGTGGTAGAAACTGACATCCACGTTCTTTCCATTGTGTGCAACATGTGCGCCGTTTGTCGGTTGTACGTGGGCGAGTAGCGCCTAAACATACTAATTTATTTGGATTTATAGCTGAAGTTGATATTTTGACGTGACTATATGTTGTGAAATACAACTATATGTTACCGAAATTCTAAAATAAAAACGAAAACATTTCCTTCTGACGTATTTCACATTTGTCTAAAAAAAAACACAGTACCGAATATTCCGGAGTTCCGTGTATCTTCCGCGATATGACATGGACTTGTCAACGATGCCTGTACATGCTGTCTGGGTCATTGGTATAAGGACACTGGTTGTCTGTCCAGATATTCGCTATCTTGACTGAAATCACATAAGACATAGAAGACGAAAATCGCGATTCCCTTCTGCCACATATTACAGGTTTATAGAGGGGGGTGGGCGGCGGGGGAGAAAGACGGATCTATCTATTCATCAATTCATCCATCTTTCCGTCCGTCCATCCGTCCGTCCATCCGTCCTCCCATCCATCCATCAATAATGGTGTGTATATTCGGGTGCCCCAGATTACAAGTGTAGAGACACACATGTTACATATATATGTATATATATATATATATATATATATATACACACGCACGCGCGCGCACGTGTGTGTGTGTTTATATTACCTAATGACTCACATGTATATATAATAGATTAGTATATATTGCCAGGTGTCCCAGATTGCATGTTTATAGTCGGCTACTTCTAGACACTTGTGTATTCTGATAATTGCTGTTGTAGTTGCAGCCACCGAGGGGAGATGGTGGTTGGCGGGGAGGCCTGCGTCTCAGGGGAACACCTAGTGGACTCCAACCTTCAACAGTCACAGTGTGGTGAGTTCCCCCGCCGCCATAGTTCGAGCTGGGGTGCGTAAGATGGACAGGTTCACCGTATGGGCTTGTCCCATTAGGATCTGGAAATATGGTTTGACAATGTATACTAGCCACATAAAGAAACTGTGCATTGTCAAAATATTAACCCAGTTGATAAGTACGATATCAATGTCAAAGGTACATATAAACTTTAATGGAGGGATCATGAGACCATAACAAGTCGGGAGAATTTCAATTGAAAAGTCAATCACAATGACGTCACGAGTCCACAAGCGGGACAGGGGTCAAACGACCATGTCACAAGCTCAATAACGGGTATGTCCACCATCGGCATTGAGAACAGCAGTGCATCGACGCCGCATATATAGCCTATCAAACGTGCAAGGACGGCTTGTGGGATGTCACGCAAGATTCTCTCAAGTTCTGTTGCAAGGTCAAGGACGTTATCTGGCGGATGAGGAAGACGGCGTAGACGTCGATCCATCTCGTCCCAAACATGCTCTATCGGGGACAGATCCGGTGAATTTGCAGGCCAAGGCAGTAAGTCAACGTTGTGGTGTTACAAGAAATCCATAGCAACCCTTGCCGTATGAGGGCGGGCATTGTCCTGTTGGAATGTTAACCCAGGGCCATGACGTTGCAGAAAAGGAATTGCCACAGGTCGAAGAATCTGATCCCTGTAGCCCACACCAGTTAAGTTGCCCTGAACAATCACCAAAGGATCCGGAGTTCTTTGGCGTGCTGTTATTCCACCCCAAATCATCACGGAACCACCACCAAAGCGATTCCTCTCCCAGACACAGGCCTGTGCATAACGTTCTCCCACGCGTCTATAGGCACCTTGACGTCCATCACTATGGGAAATGTTAAACCTGGACTCATCTGTAAAAAACAACATTTCTCCACCAAAACAAGGGTCTGCGGACATGATTTCGGCACCACATTCGGCGAGCTTGTCGATGACCTTGTGTCAGGATAGGCCGTATGGCGGGACGTCGTGGTCTGATCCCGTGATGACGTAAACGTTGTCGAACTGTGTTGGGATGGATACGGCGAAGTCCTGGGATGGTTCGGGCAGTCATCACTGCAGTCTGAAACCTGTGGCGAAGATGGGTCACCCTTATCCATCTGTCCTGTCTTGGCGTTGTTACCCGTGGACGTCCAGAACGTGGCCGATCGATGACGTCATTTGTGTTCTGGTAGCGTCTCACCAGTGCAGAAATGGTGTTCCCGTGGCAGTGGAAATGTGCAGCCACTTGTCGTTGAGACATTCCCCCACAGACCATCCCAATGGCCTCATGGCGTTGTGCAGACGTGAGCCTTGGCACACTATGCGTTTCAATAGCCGTTTAATTTTTTTGAACGATCGCAAGGGCAGGGGTTAAAGCTTTCCAAAGTGACAGTATTGTGTGGCATTCATTTGCTCTGTTTCTCTTTCCCGGAATGCACGTGCAACAACGTATTTCACGTCTCAAGGACGAACCCACTGACGTCACGGAACGTGGCACGTGCATGCATGTTGGATACATGTCTCTAATCTCTGAGTTTAAATCCTTATGTTTCTACACAGGTTTGATAAATGTATATTTTAATTTTTTGTATGCACAGTTTCTTTATGTGCCTAGTATAGAATGTGACATGAGGTTTGTTTTTGTTTGTTTGTTCTATAACGCCGCACTCAACAATATTCCAGCTGTATGAAAATAATTGAGCCTGGACCATACAATCCAGTGATATGTGGACGTCACATTTAAATTTTGGGTGACCAGATATGACATGGGAATGAGGTGCTGGACTATATATCATGATATATTGCGTCTTGTGTCGTTGTGGAAGATTATAGTCTGAGAAACGTTTAAACGTTGACAAGCACCTCAGAATGTAACACAGGCACTGGCAGCTCATACGAACGGTGAATGTGGACGTGGCCAGGTTATATGGTTATCTGAGAGTGGCCCCCTCTGTACGGTGCAGCCTCTCCAACCTCCTAGTATCCGTAAAATGTAAAATGTACCCTTGACGTTTAGTACAAATGTAAACATTACTGTGTGAATGAGTGAGTTGACGGATAGGTTGCTGTGTGAGCGTCAGTGAGTTAGTGAGTGAGTGAGGCTGTGCAACTGTAGCAGACATATAGTATTGATTGAATGTTTATATCGAGACTAATTAGTGCTTAGGTGAATGTTATGTAACGCCACAGTCAGCAATGTTCAACTTTATGGCGCCGGACGGTAATAAACCTAGGATGTAGTGAATACTATCCCGGAAATCAATGAGTTTGATCTTATGTCGGCTCTTGGTACAAGTTGATCACTGGATTGTCTGGTCCAGGCTCGATTATTTACAGACCGCCGTCATATAGCTGGAATATTGCTGAGTGCAGCGTAAAACTAAACTCACTCACTCTTGGTACAAACATAGGATGCTTTGAAAACAGATTTCCTTAGAATCACTTCTGACAACCACTTTGAGAATGCAGATGACGCTGATGTTTCCAACCACATCTGTCTTCATCGTTTACATGTGTCATGTGACGCAGGTTCCGTGTGAGCGCTATGGCAGAGCGGCTCTGGAGTGATCGCAGCGTCAGGGACGTACCGGAAGCCAAAGTCCGACTGGAGGAACACCTGTGCCGCCTGATGAGGTGAGCTGATCACGTGACTGTGACATACAGGTGTGTTACACCGTGTTAGCTCAACTATACTGGAATATAGGTCTGTTCCCAGGTTACAGATTTACATCCAGGCCCGAAACGGAAACATAATGTCAATATGCCATCCCGAATGTTTCAGTACTACAAGTCATATGATAATTTCGTGGAATTACACAGAAAATACGACTTGCTGAAAAGAATCGGCCAAATTGTTGCATTGTTGAACTTACTCCTGACCACGCCTATGAGTGTATTCATAAAGTAGGTGACACTTGTCGCTAATACATTCTGCCCTGCGATGTCCGGTCTTGCTTCTATCTGTCCAAATCTCAGCCAAGAGTGCATCCACTGCCATATCTCTGTCCTATCATGCTAATGCGGTATCATTTAATGTATATATAATAGACTGGAGAATCGTGGTTGAATTGCCTCAGGCGTTAGTGTGCTTGAAGGCTATATTCCACGTTGAATTCAATTGTCTTGGACGAGGGCCGACAAAACGGGATATTTTACTGGCGCTTCGTCGACTTCTTGAAATGTGATGTAGATAATTGTACTGTACTGTGTTTCAGGAGACGTGTCCCCATCAGCCCTCTGAACGAACCCAGCTCGTGCGATTTGCACGTGCCATGACGATGCGTGACGTCATGACTAGAAACTCTCTGTGGTACGTGTCGAAGATACAGCCTACGATGAAGGAAGCTGAAGTCAACTGACAGCCATGCCACTGCCGTGGAACATCATGCCTCGATTTTAACTAAACTATATTGCGTGTGCTTGAACTACAGGGAACCTTTGTTTGGCGATAACCGCAGCAAGCTTCAGTGTCAAGTACCCTCCAGTTGCCTAATCGCTACTATTGTATGATGACGCGTTTGGAAGGTTAGGGAACTCTGTAGCCCACTAGACCGTCCAAATTGAACGCTCCATGTATCCTGAAGCTGAAGATGTGTCTGTGGAACGAGGTTTATTGCTATCTGTAGGCAATCCTGTACTGGGCAGACTCACGCCAGGGGCTGGGAGGTGATGAGTTACATGCGGAGGTATTGAGCTGTAACTATCGCAAGGTCATTGTGACCGCCATGCTTCTCAACAAACTGCTTTCTATACAATGTCAACCATGATAAACTAACCAGTAGTCTCTCAGTAGAGCTTATCATGGACTCGTCAGTGTGTGCTGTTACTGTAGTTGTCTACCTGTACAGTTACTGATGTAGTCGTCTACCTGTACAGTTACTGATGTAGTCGTCTACCTGTACAGTTACTGATGTAGTCGTCTACCTGTACAGTTTTGGATGTCGTCGTCTACCTGTACAGTTACTGATGTAGTCGTCTACCTGTACAGTTACTGATGTAGTCGTCTACCTGTACAGTTACTGATGTAGTCGTCTACCTGTACAGTTACTGATGTAGTCGTCTACCTGTACAGTTACTGATGTACTCGTCTACCTGTACAGTTTTGATGTCGTCGTCTACCTGTACAGTTACTGATGTAGTGGTCTACCTGTACAGTTACTGATGTAGTCGTCTACCTGTACAGTTACTGATGTAGTCGTCTACCTGTACAGTTACTGATGTAGTCGTCTACCTGTACAGTTACTGATGTAGTCGTCTACCTGTACAGTTACTGATGTAGTCGTCTACCTGTACAGTTACTGATGTAGTCGTCTACCTGTACAGTTACTGATGTAGTCGTCTACCTGTACAGTTACTGATGTAGTCGTCTACCTGTACAGTTACTGATGTAGTCGTCTACCTGTACAGTTACTGATGTAGTCGTCTACCTGTACAGTTGTAGTCGTCTGCCCGTACAGTTACCGTTGTACTGATGTAGTCGTCTACCTGTACAGTTACTGTTGTAGTCGTCTACCTGTACAGTTACTGTGTAGTCGTCTACCTGTACAGTTACTGATGTAGTCGTCTACCTGTACAGTTACTGATGTAGTCGTCTACCTGTACAGTTACTGTTGTAGTCGTCTGTACAGTTACTGATGTAGTCGTCTACCTGTACAGTTACTGATGTAGTCGTCTACCTGTACAGTTACTGATGTAGTACCTGTACAGTCTGATGTAGTCCTGTACTGATGTTACTGATACAGTGGTCTACCTGTACAGTTACCGATGTAGTACACCTGTACAGTTACTGCTGTAGTCGTCTACCTGTACAGTTACTGATGTAGTCGTCTACCTGTAACAGTTACTGATGTAGTCGTCTGCCTGTACAGTTACTGATGTAGTCGTCTACCTGTACAGTTACTGATGTAGTCGTCCACCTGTACAGTTACTGATGTAGTCGTCTACCTGTACAGTTACTGAT